AGCAGAGTCAAGTCTTCATTTCCTGTAAAGAAAGTTTCCAGCACTTACTAACGCATGCCCCCTCCCCCTAAGAGGTCCAGGGGATAAAAAAACAGAATTATAAAGTCCAGGATCAAGAACTCCCTGTGCGTCCCCCTCCACATTAATAACTTTTTCTTCTCTCCCAGCTGGGCCCCCAGTGGCAGACGGGCCCCTTAGAGGCCATCGTGCCCATTTCCGAGAAGGGAAGGCAGAGCCTCACAAAAGGGAAAGGCTTGCGGGAGGTCAGGCAGTGAGTTAGGGCAGAGGTGGGGCAGGATCCCACCTGGTCTGACCCCTGGAACTGGGCTTGTCCAGTCTGCCCTTGGACGTAGTCAGGAGGGGCTGAGGTTGGGGCACGGATGTTTCTCAGGCCCCACCACCTCCCTGTTAAAACATCCCTGTGATGAGGGCATTTTCACCCCCCATTACAGATGAGCAAACTGAGATTTGAACCAGAGGGAAGGAGTGACTTGCCCTGTATCACAAAGTGCCAGAGCTCAAACCTGGGCCCGACAGATCCTACACAGCGTTCTTCCATGTGAACGCAAGTCCTTCCACCACCGTGATGCTCACCGTGGCCCTACTGACCTTGACACTCAGGGCTGGCCATTCTTGTGTGGAGGGTCCTTGTGGTTTTTCCCATCTTACTTTCTGAGGCTCCAGAGAGGCCTCTGGTTCCCTTCGCGGCTCAAGAGGCTCCTCCATACATTCACAGAGACAGAAGAAAATGGGAATGTTTGGGGTTTTCCTTTTTTTTTTTTTTGGCAAATCAGTATAGCCAAAGGACAGGCCCCCTCTAGAATTGGCTGTGGCCAAGTCTGGACTTGTCTCGCCATGTTTCTAAACTTGTCTCCTTCCCTTGCCCAAATGGCTACCTATAAAATGGACTGGGGATCCCCCACCCAAGCCCAGGGAGGAGTGGGAGGCCACCAACTTCTCTCCAGCCTGGAAGGTGGGGTCTGGATGTGTATTTGGGGAGTTGGGGGAGCTCATCGGTGTCTGGGCCCCATCCTGCCTCAGCTGGAGAGGGGAACAGTGTGTCATAGTGTCTCCCAAACCACAGGGCAGGCCCTAAAGACAGGCTCATTGTACCCATGGAGAGAGGTAAATGCTTCGGCTAAGAGCCAAAGCAGCCCCAATACTCCCAGGGCGGGCCTCGGGGCATCCCCCTGGCAAGGGCTGTGCTGATAAGCTTCCAGCAAGTTCTGGTTGTGGGTGAGGGCAGGGTTGGAGCAGCTGCGTTGAAGTCCTTGTATTCCAGGCGGGCTGTGGGCATGTGGGTGGGGTTGGGTGAGGGGAAACTGCTCTTCCTGTTCTACAGATGAGGGTACCGAGACACAGGAAAGTGACCCAGTTGCTCAGGGTCTTGTACCTTTGAGGTGCAAGAACTGGGGTTCATGCCACCCGTCCTTACTAAGCACCTACTACGTGCCAAGCATTGCCCTTGGTGCTGAATACTCAGACTGACGGTCCAGAGGAGTGACAGACACTATATAAAGTGTAAAGTGTCCTAGAAAGCCAGGGCCTGGTGAGAATAAAGCAGGGCAGCAGAAGGGCATGCCGGGAAAGTGCTGCTATTTAGAATTAGGTGTTGGGGAGGGTGGGAGTTAAGTAAAGACCTAAGGTGCCAGTTAAGTAAAGACCTAAAAGAGGCAAGGAGGGGAGAGCTCCAGCGGGAAGCGCATGCCACGAGGAAGAAGCAGTGGGACCAAAGGCCTTCCATTGCCTGGTGTGTATCCAGAGCAACAGAGAGTGGAGTAATGGAGAAGAGGGGGTCGGACAATCGCAGCAGATAAGGTTAAGAGGTCACGGGGGGCCGGTGGTATGGGGGCCACAAAAGCCGTAGTGAGGACTTGGCTTTGACTCCCACTGAGGTGGGTGCCTGGGAAGGTCCTGAGCAGAGGCTGGACGGGGATATCCCAGGGTCCTTCTGACTGCTCCCAGGGGAGCAGACTGTGTGGAGCAAGACAGAGCAGGGAGGTAACTACTGCACTAGTCCAGACGTCGTGAGCAGGGCTGGGGAGAAATGTCCCAGTCCTGGGTAGATGGAGAAGGAAGTGTGGATGGCTTTTACTGACGTGGAGTGTGAGATGCTGGAGCCCAGGCCTGTTGCCTACACCCACATTCTAAAACACTAGCTTGTGCCTTACCATGTCATAGGTGGGGAAAGCAGGGCACACAGCCAGGAGGCATCTAAGCCAGGGCTGACTGTCCCACATGCTGCAGGGAGGAGGGTCATCTGGGGGTCTTAGGGTCCTGGTGCTTTCCGCATCCTCCCTGCCCCCATGTTGCAGATGGGAAGACTGAGGCCCCAGAGAGTTAGTAGGTACTTCTGACCTTCTTCGGCATCCCCAAAGGCAGCAGGACTGAAAGCAAAGCACCAATCTCATGGCTTTCAGATCCCAGTCCTGGATACGAGGCCCCTACATGACCCCTTGTCCCCACCCCACAGTGCCCCATGATGCCCGCCTAGAGCAGTGTTCCTGAGCAGGGAGGTTGGGAGAGGATGCATGGTGCGGGGAGGGGCCTTGCTCCATGTGGGGATGGACTTGCCTGGGTAAACCCCCAGGCTCTGCCCTCGGTGCCTCCCAGCTGTGCTGGCTCGGGCCCCTTGCACTTGGGTGGGAGTGGATTGGGCCATGTCAGGTGTGGGTGATTGGGGCAAGGTGACCTTTGCTACCCTTCTAAGGCCGGAATTGGTGTGGGGCCATAGGCCCGGGGCACCAAGATAGTCCACTAAGGGTCTGGTTCCTCCCCATGTAGAGTGCTGTGACCTGGCCACCGGCAGGGTTCACTAGAGAGCTTTTCCCCTCACACGTAGCCCACGTCCATTCTGGTGACCCCAGATGCCTTTTTGTATTTCTTTCAGCCAGAAAACTCTAAGTGAGCTCAGCCGCACATGTTGCCAGGCTGTACAACTGCCTCTTAGGGCCTCAGTTTCCCCATCAGTAAACAGGGCTGTAAGACTCTTACCCACTTTGTAAGATTGTGTTGTGGAAATAGCATGTTCAGAGAGCCGAGCACAGGACAGCGTGGCAGGGCCCCACAGGTGAGCTGCCTGTCATCTCCCCGAAGGCCAGCCCGGGAAAGCCAGGATCCCAGCGTGGCTTCCTACTGCTGTCCTGCCCTCATTTGGTTTCAGCCCCACCCATTCACTGATCCTCAAACATTCCACCTCAGGGCCTTTGCACATGCTGTCCTTGGCACCTGGACAGGTCATCCCCCACATCTCCTTTTAGATCGGCTCATTTGCCTCCTCCAGGTCTTTGCTCAAAAGAGGCCTCCTTGTAGACTCTATTTAAGATGGGATTTGCCTTCTCTGCTCTATTCCAGCTTAACACCTTCAAGGTTCTGTTATTAGGAGGGTATTGTTTATCCGGCTTCCTCCATTAAGAAAGGGAAGGCCGTTTTCTTCACGGGCTGCAGGCACAGCACTCTGAACCCTGACTGCCACCCAGTAGGCCCTCCTTGGGTTCGGGGGTCCTTAAATGGCCATGCCAGTCAGGCAGCAGCTCCTTCCGGGACTGGTGACCAGCTCAGGCCCAAAATAGCTTCCTGATCTCTGTTCTCCTGTGCTGGGTGAGCTGAATTCGTGCCCTCGTACAGATGCAGGAGCCAAGTCCCAAGCGACACAGCTGGGCAGGTAGCAGCAGCGGAGGCCAATGCAGAGCCACAGTGGGGACATCAGGAGGAGACACTGGGGATCCAGAGGTGTGGGGAGGAGGCAGGACTGGGGCCAAGAAGGGGAAAGGGAGTTCCAGGCAGAAGGAAGCGTGGAGGCAAAGGCCTGGAGGCAGGGGAGAGGAGGCTTGTTGAGGTGGGGCAGAAAGAGAACCAGGCTGAGGGTCAGGAGGCCTGGGTACCGGCTTCACCTGGACTCGTGGTCGCCCTTGGATCTCTGGAGCTCAGTTTCCCATCTGGAAATGGGAAGATGAATTGTAGCCTGCTCCTGGAGCTTTGGGGAGAGACAGAAAGCCTCCCACATGGGATGGGAGCTTGTTGCCGTGTCTGATTTGCTGTAAGACCCTGGTCTGGTCATTAATCTCTCTTGGCCTGTCAGCTTTCCATGCTCGCTGTAGGCTGGGAGCCCAGGCAGCACTGAGGAGCAAACTCTAGGAAGCTTTAAAGTCAAAACACGTGAAAGACTATTTGCTTTTAAAAATTAAAGACACTTGGCATTGCCATGTTTTCTTTTAGAGCCAGTGAATTGTGTTTTCCAACCTCAGGGCCTTTCCACTAACCCTGTCCTCAGCCTGCCCCTCCCTCGGGCACCCCCCAACTCTGAGGTTTTCTTGGAGGGGTCTCCCTGGACTGCCTCTGGCTAAATGGCCCTGTGTCGCCCCCAACCCATTTTACTTTTTCCTTCATACATTTACAGTGGCCTGCAGCGGTAAGCCAGGGAGTTGTCCTGAGCTCTTTCTCACTTGCCCCATCCAGGTCCCCGGCAGATCCTGCCAGCTACACCGTCACAGCACCATCCGAGTCTGATGCCTGCCTGAACCCCAGTGCCTCTGCCTGCGACTGGGTTCCCGTCATCACTCACCTGGGCTAGTGTATCAGCCGTCTCCTTGGTCTTCCTGTGCCTGCCCTGGGTCTGCCCTCAGGGCGGCCAGAGGGATTCCCATGAAATCCTGAGTCACCTTCTGTTCCTCCTCTGCCCAGGGCCCTCTTCTGGCTCCCTGGTCACAATGACTTACCATCTCTACAGCACCTCTCCTGTCACCTCCCTGCCCTCCTCACCCCCGCCTTCCCCTTCGCCCACACTGCTCCAGCCACCCCAGCCTCCTCCCTGTCCCTCAAACACATCTGACCCACTCCTGCCTCAGGGCCTTTGCACTGACTGTTCCCCCTGACAAAACAGGGTTCCCCCAGACATCCCATGGCTGACTCCCTCTGCTCCTTCCTGTTTCTAGCTAGCACTCCCTCCACCCCTGCCCCACCCCCTGCCATGCTGCACATTAACTTGCTTTTCTTGTTTGTCCTCTATCTCCCCTTCTAGTCAGTTCCATGAGGGCAAGGCTCTTTGTCTGGCTTGTTTGCCTCTGAGTCCCAGTATCAGAAACAGTGCCCGAGGCTCCGTAAACATCTGTTGAAAGGAATGGTTGGATACAGGGGTGAAGGGACAGATGGACAGATAGGACAGCGGGTGGGGGGATGATGTGTGCTGATGGTAATTACAACAGCAAAGGCCAACATGCTCTAGACACTAATCTTAACATTGTGCAGAGATGACCTCAGTGTTCCAAACACAATGGGGGATGCGTTATTATATCCCCCACTTTATGGATGAGGAAACTGAGGCACAGAGAGGTCATTCTAGGTCCAACACTGGCAGCCTGGCCCCAAACACCGGTCCCTCTATTTGCCTGCCTTACGCCCCGAGCATGTGCTGGGCCTCACCTGTTTGCCACGGTCCCTCTGCAGGATGTCATGACCGGGCCGTCCTGCTCTACGAGTATGTGGGCAAGCGGATCGTGGACCTGCAGCACACTGAGGTCCCCGACGCCTACCGCGGGCGTGGCATCGCCAAGCACCTGGCTAAGGTAGGCTGGGGGGAGGGGGCTGCCCCCACATGCGGCGAAACCATGGCCCTGGGGGCTGACCTGGGTCTGCGAATGGGCAGCTGCTGGCGGCACACTCTGCCCTCCCCACCCCTGCTCCTCTGAAGCAGGAGGCAGCCAGTGTGGGCCCAGGCCTTGGGTTCCATAGGGCTAAGCCTCCAGGGCTGCAGACACCTGCTGGATGTCAGGAGCTCACTGACCAGGGCTTGGCACATGAGTAATAGGTGCTCATTAAACCCCAATAGAACGACCTCATAAAGGAATGTCCGAGTACAGTGGCTTGCACCCTGTTTCTCGCCCCTGAGCCCTCCATCCCCAAAACCCAGGCTGGCTGGAAAGCAGGTGTGGGCTTAATGCGGGGAAGGTGACAGAGAATGGCCTTCCGTGCATGGCACTGGGGACTGCTCCAGGCCCCCGTTCTTCCCTCTGCCTGCTCTAGCCATGTCCACCCCCAACTCGGGCCTCGTCCCTCCTCTCCCCTCTGCCCTCCTGTAGCTGTGCCCCCAGGCTCCCAGGGTATGGCAGACATAGCTGTCCTCTTCCTTGAAACAGGACCCAGCCTCTGTGCTGCTCTCTGGGGATTTTAACTCAGGAAACTCTGAGAGTTACTGACCTGGGGAGAGGGGAGGCGGGCCTTGAAGCTGGGTGCACCCCTCCCTGATTCTGGGGAGCCTTGGCCAGCTGTGGGATCTACCAGACACCCCTGTCCATGTCTCCCCTGAGTCCTGCCTGCCGAGGGCATGAAAAGCAATCACTGTGTGGCCTCTGCTGCCTCCTGGGGCCTTCCGTTTCTTCTTCTTGAAATGGAAGAATAGCCTGGAATCTTATCTTTCGAGGGTCTCAGGTTGTGAGCCCTAAGATGGGGTGTGGACGGTGAGACGCAACAAGGCCTGCTCGGGCGTGTGGAGCTGGAGGTTCAAACTGGCCGGCATGTAAGCACAGGGTCCCCGGTAGGTGCTCAGTAAATGCTGCTCCCCTCTCATCAGACCAGCCAACCCCACCCAGGCTGTCCTCCACTTTGTTTCAGCAAGCACTTATTAAACGCCAACTATGTGCAGGACGTCCTGCAAGGCACTGGGCAGGGGGACCCCAAGCTTGCCCTCGCTGTCCATGGTGAGAACAGCCACAGGCATGATGAAGGCCACGTGGCGGTATCCTCATCATGGCCCCCCGCCCCTGAGCAGCTGTGCAAGCCCTATCATACCCAAGTGTGACCTCTGCTAGGTGCAGGGAATCTTACCCAGCCAGAGGGTAAGGTTCCAGGACAAGGCATCGAAGGAGTGGCCATGGGAGAGTGAGGGCAACAGAGTTGTAGGCCTTGTGAGCACAGAGGCCCTGAGATCGGACGGGGCGGAAGCGCTGGCTGCCAGGCCTCTCAGGTGGGGTGCAGGGCAGACCAGATGTGGCGTAGGGCCGGGGCTTCTTTGGTTTAGTGTCTGCTTGATGTCTTTCAAGACGTACAGAGCCCACACTGCTGCTGGGTTCACTGGGCTGCCTGTGTGCAGACTGCCCTCCCCGGGCCCCTGGTCCACTTCGGTGTCGTGTGGCCACGGGCAGTGTATCCCAGCTTTGTGCCTTGGTTTCCCCCACTGCAAAAGGAGGGTGGCGGTAGCACGTCCCTCGGCCCGCAGGCGCCAGCTCCCGCCCTTAGAGGGGAGCACCAGGGAGAGTGTGGGGGCTGGGCCGCGGGCTGCAGGCACTGACCACTGCTCTCTCTGCCCTGGCCGCCAGGCTGCTCTGGACTTTGTAGTGGAGGAGGACCTGAAGGCGCATCTCACGTGCTGGTACATTCAGAAGTACGTCAAGGAGAACCCCCTGCCACAGTACCTGGAGCGCCTCCAGCCGTAGCCCTGGCCCCGCGGGGCAGGACCCTCCATGCCGGACCTCTCCTCGCGGCCTTCACCCCGGCCCTCTGTGTGCTCTCAGGAAAACTGCTCCCCACCGGGGATGGACTCAGAGTTATTTTTGTAAGGACGCTCCTCGGTGGCCCCCAGAGGCTGCCGGCCAATGACGGGCAGTGGTCCAGCTACCGCGGTGAAGGGGAAGCCGGGTAGCCGAGGTCCCGGAGGACCCCACTCCGCACACACTGGCTGGCTCCTCACGGGGCCACCCCCACCTTTCGTGGGCAGGCCGGCGGGGGCCAGCAGCCAGGACCAGAGGGTGGCCAGGGCTGTCCCTGTGGCCGGTCTGGGTCCCACCTGCTGTTCCCTGCTCTGTGATCGGCAGGGGGGCTGATTTGGGGCCCCCTCTGCCACCACCTAGGGCTGTGTCCTTTGTGCGGCGAGGAGGGGATTGCCTGAGTGGACAGGAGCAATAAGAAACCTCGCGTGCCAACTTCCCAGGGGCTGCCACCAGCCCCTTCCCTTCCCCCAGCTCCTGCACCCCGGCACTGGGGGTTGGGCCCAGGTGAGGGGCAACCCTCCTTCAGGGGCAAAGCCTGGAATGCGTGGACTGCTCACCCCCGTGGCCCGACCGTGCACACACGAGCACATGTGCGCGCACATATGCACATGCACGGGACACTGTGCAGGTCTATGCATCAGTGCAGGGGCTGGTGGAGGGAGCACTGGGTGTTCTCTCCTCGGTACCTGTTCCCTTAATTCCTTGCCCCCTCGTCTGTTAGCTGTGCAGGAGGTCAAGGTCCCCATGCCCTGTGGCCGCCATCCCTTTTTGCCCCGTCTGCCTGGAGCCAGCCCCAGGCACGACCAGAGCACCAAGCCCCGGGACCCCCCTCTTTTACCAGCCTCTTGGTCCCCCGCGGGTGCGCTTTCTCACAGAGGTCCCTTGGGAGCTCAGGTGGGAGGGAGGCACACTGTCCTCACAAGACCGTCCTCACTGCCAAGGGGAAGAAACAGTGATGTGGTGGGATTTCCTCTGTGGACATCGGAAATCGGAGCGCCTTTCTCTCTCGTGGCTAGCTTCTGGCCCGACATGTCCTGTTGCCTGACTGGGATCCCAGGGCCCCTCCCAGACAGCAGTCCTGGCCACGGCCTGGGGGGTACACACCAACACCCCTCCTTCCGTGGGCTTTGTGACCTGGGGAGAGCTCAGGGTCCTGACCTCCTGTGCCCTCCTTCCAATCCATGCCTGCCTCTCTGTGGGGCTGGAGGGCGACCCTGGAGTCCGAGTCCCTTAGGGGCTGAGACATTGGTTCACAGCATATCCCCAGGGGTACCGTGTCCCCTCCAGGCCTCTGGCTGGGGGCGGGCTTGGGGAAGTGTGTGTGCTGCGGGGGAGCTGGTTGCCACAGGGACCCCCCCTTTCTCACTGCATTTACCTCTTCCCTCCCAGTCTCGGCACCGAGCGCCCCGTGACCGCTGCAGCTCCGCGGCCCCTGGCAGACATTGCACAGAGCCCTTCCCACCCAGTGACAGGAACAGCTGGATCAGGCTGTGCCTGCAGCCCACCCGCGAGGGGTCCCTGAGCCCTGGAGAGGCAATATCCTCAGCACCCTCACGGCCTCCTGTGTGCTCGCTCCCAGCCCCACTCTGGCCTCTAAGAACTCCCATCCCCAAGGGCTGAAGGCACGCCTCACCTGGCCCACCATGCTCCTCAGTTCTGTTTGCACAGGGCTACGGTGAGGAGCCACAAATGCCCCTGGGCCTCTGCTGTGCTGGTTGCCAGCAGCCAGGAAGAACTCCGGGACTCAGTCGCTGAGTCCCCTCCAAAAGGCTGGGGGTGTCCCATCCCTGGAGCAGCTCGAGGAAAGAGTGGGTTGTAGGCCCAAGAGTGGCCCCGGGCCTCCCCCTGACTCCTGGGGCAGGGGGCTTATGGGGCCCCTTCCCCTCCCTCTCCCCATCCACACAAGCCTTCCCAAGGCCAAACATAGACTCAGTCATGAAAACTGCCCAGTAGCCGAGAAAACCGGTGCTTTTTCCTTCCGTGGCCTATAGGGTGACACAAACCAGCTCCGGGAGGGCACTTGGCCCCAGGGCGCTGCTGGTCAGGCCCCAGGAGGGTGCCCCACAGCAGTAGCACACGGGACCCCAGGGAGGCCCCTAGGGCAAGCAGGGCCAACCAGAGCAGACAGCCAGCTGGCATCAAGAAAGCAGCCCTGTCCCAGTCCTCCATGGGTCCCAGCCGGCACCTGTGTTCTTAACCACAGGTGACATGCCACACCTGGCCAGCATGCACACAAAACAGTACTTGAACCAGGAGACATGCAGGGTTTAGGGGGACCTGGCTCAGCCCTGGGTCCGGGAACAGCTTGTCCCCAGCTCCTGCAAAAGCCACCTGGAGCCTCCTCACCTCTGGCTGCCTTAAGTCCCGCTGCCCCCACCGCAGCGGCCTGCCTGGCCCCAGTGTTCAGCAGAGCCTGCTCTCCAAGGCTGGGACCCTGGTCTGCAGCAGACACAGACCCTAGGGCCCCCAGCCCACCTCCACCAGCCTGTACCGCCTCCCTCCCCACCCCCCGCCCTGTCCGCCCCCTGGTGCTACTCCGTGGCGCTCCCACCTCGCCCGCACCCATCCCGGGTACTCCAGGAGCCCTTCCTCGGCAGGCAGGTCACGTAGGCCACTTCCACCCGCAGGGGCAGGGGGACGAGTGGGGATGCCACCCGGCCCCCCTGCAAGCAGATTGCCCCACGGGCCCTGCGCGCTCCTGCCATGTCTTGCTTGGGGGCTTTCTTTCTCTTGCCCAGTCAAGCCAGGTGGTAAGTCATGTGCCTTTTCTACTCAGGACCTGTTCCAGGTGGTGTCTGGGCCGAGGCTGGTCTCCACACCTGCTCCCTCTGTTATTTTTCAAACTCTTGAACAGATTGCATGGCATACATTTCAATAAAAGATGTGACCTAGTGCACGGGCTCCAGGACTGCTTCTAGAAGCTGTGCAGTGGGCTCTTGGGCCTGGGCGGGGCGGGGGGCGACTGTTCTCCCCCCACCATCCTGCTCCAGTCGGATCATTGGCCCCCCCTTTTACTGACAAGGAAAGAAGTTCAGGTTAAGGAGCCATGGGTGTGAGAAGGAGGGGAGAAGGCAGGCTTGGCAGGCGTGCTCCGTTCTTCTGTACCAGTCCCTGGTGTTCAGCCTTTTATTTAAATGGGCAGCAAAGCCCCCACTTTCTGGTGGGGAAGGCGAGGCTCTGAGAGGCAACAGGGGCCTAGCTGAGGTCTCTCAGCAAGAACTCAGTGGCGTCAGGATCTGGGGACTTTGCCATCCTTTCCCACGTCACAGCTCCCGCCTCTTGAGGCCACAGCCATGCACTCAGCACGGGGCCGGCCGAGCAGCCGGACGGGGTTTGCCAGGAAGAGGCTGTGATGTCCTGTCACGTCTCCTCAGCTACTGCTCTTAGACATGCCCCTCTCCCCACTGGAGAGCCTTCCCCTGGGGTTTCTAGTTCCAGGGAGGGAGGCAGGCTCCCATGGGGGAAGCCAGGCGCTGCGCTCGAGGGCCACGTGGCCACATCGTGTCTGTCCCACTCCCTGCCCCCCACCCTATGGCCCAGGGAGGGAGGGATCCCTGATTGGGAGTTCTCCTAGTTCCCACTCGGGATTACAGGGCTGCCCTGAAGAAGAGGAAGGCCCTTCAGAATCTTGTCTAGCTTGATTGTCATGGCCGTGCCATGAGATCCCAGTTCTTCGGCCTGTTTTACAGATGAGGAAACTGAGGCCCACAATGGGGAAGTCACTAGGCTGCAGCCCACAGAGCTGGACAGCAAGAGCACCAGGATCCACACCCAGTCCCTGCCCTCTCTATAAGATGATGCTGGGCTGGAGAGTCCTAGGTCCTATCTACTCTATGTGACAGATGGTCTCCGAGAAAAATACACACATAACTCTTCTGGCAATTTCTCTGCTCATTTGGAAGGTTAGGTGGGTTCTGTCCTGAGCTACAAGATACACAGCTGAGCAGGGGGGCCCGCTGGGCACGAGAGGATGACTGCGCATGTGCACCTGGGGCATGGTGGGGCTTAGGAGGGAGCGGGCAACCACTCATTCGCTCACATCGTTCCTTCCTCACATTGTTCCTTCCTCGGGGCTGGCTTCTCAGATTTGCTCAAGTCCACACAAATGTCCCCTTAGCTATTCTCAGGGTGCTGCTCCTTCCAAACCAGTGGCCTAAGCTCCCCATTGGAGTCTGGCAAGGGTGTGGAGGCTCATTGTCCAACCCCCCACCCCACCCCCGCAGATCAAGCTCCAGGCTCCTTGGTCCCTTGTCTCATCCCGCAGCTGCCGGACTGTTCCCAGCTGCTGAGGACACTCTGCAGTCTTGTGCCTGCGCCTGGAGCTGAGTCTACAGCTTTGTCTCTGCTGACCCCGCGGCAGCCCCAGCATCCAGCCCACACTGGAGCATTTGTCGCAGTCCTACCCATCACAGTGACTGGGGACAGCAGCCAGCAGGTCTCCAGGCCCTGCCTTCAGGAGGCATCTCCACCCCTCCCTGAAACTAGCAGAGATGTCAAATGGCAGTTTTCACCTTCTGGGGTCTCCTTCCCCCCAGGGGCAGTGAGGTCATGGCTGTGCCCCAGCCCAATCTGGTCATACAAGCCAGCCTGTGTTCCCGTGTTCAAGGGACCGTTCCTCGGAGGCCGAGGCTCTGACCAAGAACGACAGCAGTCCGTGTAGAGTCAGGAGAACAGAGACCGCCTCAGTGCAGCAAACCAAGCGGGTTTAGTGCGGGGGACTGGCCACCACACTGCCAGAAGGATGAGAGGAGCAAGTGTGAGAAGATGACCCAGATGTGAGTACCTGTGGGAGTCTGTGGGGCCATGAGCTGGGGCACAAGGTGTCCCTGAAAGCCATGATCGCTGGCCCACTGCCAGAACTCCGCTACCTGAACCAAATCTCGCAGTGGGTGCCTACCCGTGCCTGCTGCCACCACCACTGCCAAAACACCCCAGATCCAGAAACTCGCTTTCACCATCCTCTAGGCTCATGCCAGTGCTCATTTGGGCAGAAGTGAACAGGCTGCCCACTGCCGAGGGCTCTGGGACATGTGGGTGCGGGTGTGATCCAGGGGAGGAAGGGATGTGGACACCCTCGGACGAGTAGCCAGGGTGGAATATTCTTGCCAGCAAGGGGCAGGGCATCTGATACCAGTCCCTCTACACCAATGGTGGAAGACGGCGTGATGGAGAATGGGCTGCCTCCAGATGGCTGTCAGAATGGCCCCTGACGTTTGGAGGCGCTCAGTCACCACGGTGCGGGTGCATCATGGGCTGCTGTGTCACGAGCTTGTCGTAGGTGACGGGGCCCTTGTAGGCTGTGGATCAGGAGTTTGGGTGGGAGATCTGTGGGTGAGATCCAGCAATCCTCTGAATTTGGGAGAGGGTGGAATGCATGAGGTCAGGGGAAGGTCCTTCAAGAGGCTTCTTTCTGGGGTGTCTGGGTTGCTCAGTGGGCTAAGCCTCTGCCTTCAGCTCAGTTCATGGTCTCAGGGTCCTGGGATCGAGCCCCACCTCAGGCTCTCTGCTTAGCAGGGAACCTGCTTCCCCCTCTCTCTCTGCCTGCCTCTCTGCCTACTTGTGATCTCTCTCTCTCTGTCAAATAAATAAATAAAATCGTAAAAAAAAAAAAAAAGGCTTCTTTCTAAAGGCACTTCATGATGAAGTCACAGGTCAGATGAGGAAAGACGCTGAGACCGGACAGGAATATGCCTCTGCATGGTCATTCTGGAATCTAGAATAAGGAGAGTCAGGGAAAAAAGAACTTGTGGGTGTTTTCTCTGTTAAGACAAAAAGGCCAACTAAAGGGATGAACTAGGTCAGAGAATCACATCCCTTCATTCCTAGCTCCCAAGCTGAATTTGCCTGTGAAGGGAGAGCCTTCCTCCTTTTACATGTGGAGACCCTGCGTTCAGGAGGCCAATCCCATTCCCATGTGGAGTACCCAGCATGTGTCCAGTGAGGATGTGAGAGTGAGCAAGGCAG